GCCTTCTGCAGCCTCCCTGTCTCCTGGGCCAGGGGCGCGCAGCCAGGCCACGAGGACGCTCGTGGAGGGGACGCTCCACCCGCAGGCCCGGCCCACGGCACATCCCCGTCTCCCAGCTCTGCGCGCGGCTTTCTGGTGGCGGGAGGCCTCCGCTCCACGCGAACCCGTATCTGGGGGTCCAGTGAGCATCCGCCAGCTCCGCACCCGGGACGCCAGGGAAGGAAGAGGAGGGCCTGGGCCCGCACTCCGTGCCCACGGCCCACATGCTTAGGAGTGTCCCGCCTTCCAGCACCGCGGGCTGGTGGCCGCCCTATGTGACTCTGTCGCCCTCCCTCACTGCCATGCTGCAGAAGAGGACGGAGCTCCCCAGCCGCCCGCATGTACTCGCACATCTCAGACGCGGGAGCCCAGCCCGCCATGCATGTGGGTGCTGCCCTTTCGCCCCGTGTAGCCTCGGGACGCGCCGCCCGTTGTGGCCTCAAAGGCCGGTTGCCATTGCCCTGGGGCAGCACCGCCCACCTCCTTCTGTTGCCTACCCCCCCCAAGTTCTCCGCACCCCCGTGTGGGAGGTGTGGGCGCAGGCGCCACTTCTGGGGCCCCCGCTCTGCTCCCCAGCGGCCTGGCCCACCCCACCCTGTTGCAGAATTACTGAAGTCGCTGCTGGGACAAGGCCCTTCTTGCCTCAACTCAATCAGGAAAACAGCCCCCATGACAAACCCTGGGCTTTACACGGAAGTGAACCAGGCTCGTTTTTGTGCATTGAACAGGTTTATTAGGAAGAGAGAGAAATGGCTCCCGCGGGGAGTCAGGACGTGAGGCCTGTGGCAGTGTCACCCCGAAGGGGGCCACCCGGGAGTTCTCAGCCCTTTCCCCACGCGCCCCCTTTCACGACCCACCACGGCGGCCGCCGAGGTGGGCGCACCCCCACATGGGGCCCAAGGGCCGGTCGGCAGCCCAGCTCAGAGCACACGGCCTGCAGGCAGGGCCCCGGCGGTCCAGGTGCGGGCGTTGGCGAGCAGCGAGTCCTCAGTAGTAGTAGCCGCAGCCCAGGCCTCGGGTGCCGCAGCCGTAGCCCCAGCCCAGGCCTCCGTAGCCACAGCCGTAACCGTAGCCAAGGCCTCGGTAGCCGCAGCCGTAGCCGCAGCCGTAGCCGCAGCCGTAGCCGCAGCCCAGGCCTCGGTAGCCGCAGCCGTAGCCGCAGCCCAGGCCGCCGTAGTAGTTGCCGTAGTAGCCACACATGGTGCTGGCGGTGAGGGTGTCCTTGGGAGGAGGAGGAGGAGGAGGAGGAGGAGTGGAGGTGACTGCAGGAGTGGAGTGTGGCCTCTGCTCGCTGCAGGCTCCTTTTATGGGCCCCCGTGTGGGCCGGGCCGGCCGCACCTGCTCACGCCATTGGCTAATCCTATGACTAAGCTAATAAGTCTATTGTTCCTGGACCCCGAGCGGAAGCCTCGAGGTTACAGGCAGAGGCGGCGCGGGCCTGCCGGTTGGGAGCCCGCCTGCCCCACGTGGCTAAGGGAGCGGCGAGGCTCACATGCGCGGGTGCGCGCCCCGCCCCCGGGGACCTGCCCCTCAGACTCTTGTAGGCGGTTTGGAGCAGATAGACTATGGTTGGTAACCTTGCTCTCATTTGGTCTTGGCCCCAGGTAGGTTCCCTAATTTTTTTAAGAACAATTTATGAGAATAACCCTTCCTTTGACTCATGGATTTGTCTTCTCTTTATCCTAACTAATTATCTTCAGGCATTGAGTTCCTTTTCTGCTCTGATACCATAATGTCTCCTTCATCCACATGATGCTGATAATAATCCAACTCATTAATGCTTTCAAAAAGCCAAGTCTGAGCAAAATGCATTATACTTTTCTAGTCATACTAATGACTCTAATTTTCTTTTATGTTTAATTTCTACGGAAGGATGGAAACACAAAAGTTATTCCTTGAATTTCACATCTCTGTAATTTTTCTTAAATTGAATGAAGAGTTATAGAAATTAGTATCTCATTAACAGTAGACTTATAAGTAACTAGCCAATAGGCTTAACCTCATATTTTTGTGTATCAATGTTTTAGGCCTGTTTTTATCAAGTTATCCAGCCATTTTTTGGGTGGCCCATCACACCGAGCTGTCCCACACAGGCCAGCGGTGTTACTGTCTTTATTCTAATTACTGGGTAATCCCCCCTCTTTGGGGGCACTGGGAAAGTGACAATAGTTTCATGTCAGAGGTAGAAATGGACTCGTGTGTCTTTCAGAGACCGGATGTGAGGAGGCGGCATTCTTCACACCCTGAAGTGTGATCTGCCAGTACACCTCTGTTATTTTAATGTTTCTCAGTCCAATGTTTTTTGTGTACCCGCTGATACCCTTCGGCAGACGGGAGGGTTCAAGACGTTGGGCACACCCTGTATGTTTGTCAACTGTCCTCATAAGAATGAAGACACAATAATGTTTTTCCCCATTCTCCTGTCTTGAGAAGTAGTATATCTACTGAGTCAAAAAATTCCCCTTAATAAAATAGAATGTTTTAATACCATGGAGCTGATGAAATACACCCCACTCTTCATCCCCATGTGTTTTTGAATGTTTCCACGTGTGTCTTTCGGTAGGCTCTTTTCTGTAAAATAGACGCATTATGAGCTGAGGTATTATTCTTAGACGACATCTCACTACATGATTTTCAAATTTCCCACCCAGGAATTAAACAACCTCGGTGGTGCAGTATCAGTAAAGCCGTAACTGAGAATAAGGTCCCTGCCGCTCAGCCTCCCTCGGGGCCCAGGCCTCGGACGGGCTCCTGAAATCAGCATGACGCAGTTGCATGGGTCGATTTAAAAAGAAAACTGTGTTTGACTTGAATTTTTTCTTGGCATTTGATTAAAGTAGCTCTAAAAGACATTATGATTTTTTCCGGAATGCAGTCTCCCTAATAATAACATTTGCTGTGTTATATCTGCCTGGATTTACTTCTTTGCGTTAATTTGATTCTTAAGAGCTGAGTTACTCTTTCTAATCCCAACAGCGACAGCGTTGCGGCCAGTGCGTTTTCTTTAAAAGTTCTCTTGTTTTACTGCCATTTTCTGAATTATATTTAGTGCGTAGGTACATCACGTAACAAAAGAGAACAAAATGACCCCTTTGTCTCCGCAGCGGCCTCAGCTACTACCCCTTTCCCTCCCCATTTCGTCGCAAGGGCCCGTGCATTTCCAAGGTGGACGCCACTCTCCCTTTCTGTCCTTGCTCCAGCCTGGTGGCCTTCGGCCCCCCACCCTGCTGAGGCTGCCCCCGCAGGTGTCCTGCGCGTGGTCTTTTGGGTTCTGGAGGTGCGGCCTCCTGGGGTGCCCCGCTCCTGGGGCCCGGGGCGTCTGCCTGTCCTGGGCTGCGCCTTCCGGGGGCTCCCGGCCCGCCCGCCTCCGCGCACTCTGGCTGGGCTCCGCCGTTGCCGCTGCCGCGCTCACTCCCGTCTCTATTCCCTGCAGCAGGTTTTGTTTTCAGGTGCCAGGGCGCCCAGCGTGGTGCCCGCCCCTCCAGTTCCCATTCACACGCTCCTCGAGTGGGGCAGGGGGCGCAGCGCCTTAGCCGATGAATCTCAGCTCGCGTTTGACCCCTGTCTTCCACGGCGGCCACCTTCCCTGCCCCTGTGCAACCTAGAACTTCGCCGCAGGACAACGGCGACCTTGTCTGTGCTCCTCGCTGCTTCCTCTTGAGTGTTCAGAACAGCCTTCGACAGACAGTGGGCTCTGAAGAGATTTGTGACCAAAGAACTAACAAATGACCCAATCAATGCGACCAAGTAGCATGTTTAAATTCTCCCCCAGCCTTTTTATTTTGAAATTCCTTAGTTGCCAGATGTTGTGAACATATTAGAACGTTAGCATGTCCCCTTCACCGTGCCGCACCCACGCTAAGCACGACGATCAGAACTAAGAAATTGGCCTTGTACTGCATTCTTAACGAGTCTGCACTCTTTATTTGGATTTCTTATTTTTTCCCCTACCATGCGCTCTTTTTTTCCTCCCTGGGATCCAATCCAAGATCCCACCGGATCTAAATTCATCTTTGTTGGCCTCGCCTCTTTAGTCCTCTCCAGTTGGCGACAGTTTCTCTGTTTTCCTTTAATTTTCATGGTGACTTTAAACACCAAGTGCTTTGTAGTATGTTCTTCCATTGGGATGTGTGTGCTGCCTCAAAGCAAAGTGGAGGCTACAGATTTTGGACGGGAACACCGAAGAGATGGGCCTATTGTATTCTGTCCTAGCAGGAGGTCTTTGATGTCAGTAAACCTTTGGTAGCTTCTAGAGCAGAGTGCTAAGCTGGAATTACTAATAGAATAAATCCTTCTGTTTCTATATAGCCGTGGCCTGTGGATGTGAACTTCAGGGCCTCTGTCACGGCTTTTGACCACACACAAAATGATGGCCGCATGGACACGTGAAGTGGGAATCAAAGTGCAGAATATCGCTCCACACAGAAAATCATAGACCGCGTTACTCATTCAAGGACTTAGCGCCGAGCCCGGCTGTGCCGTTGCCACGCCTCCCACGAGTCTTCTGTCGTCTTCTGTCGTCTTCTCCCCGAGCTTCCCGCCCTCCCCCACCTCTTCGGAGCCGCGCCCCTTCCCAAGGCTGCACGTGTGCAGATAAGGAGAGGGATGTCATTCAAGGAAAAGAAAGAATTTTCAAGGGGAGGACGGAACCTGCGTGGGTTAAATGATCTCGTGGTAGCTGGTAATAGAGTTTAGACTTCACATCTGGAATAAACAAGCCTTTCATTAAAGGCACATGATTTCATTATAGGCATCCCAACACACAACAAAGGTGTTCTGAATGTGTTGGTTTATGAGGGATTCTTGAGATGGTTGTCATGCCAACGAGTCTGAAATGTGAGTTGAGAGTGTTTGTGGCTTGTCCCACACCCGCTCAGTGGGTATATAAGGCCCCGGGTCGATGATGAACTTAGAACGCCAGACGTCGACTCTGCTCTTCTCCTGAGTCTGCTCCTCACACCATGAGCTTCTACAACTACTACGGCGGCCTGGGCTGCGGCTACGGCTGCGGCTACGGCGGCTACGGCTGCGGCTACGGCGGCTACGGCGGCTACGGCTGCGGCTACGGCGGCCTGGGATGTGGCTACGGCTGTGGCTGCAGATACACCTGCTACCGTCCGTGCTGCTATGGAAGATACTTCTTCTAAGGAATTCTAGGTTCTCCTCTGTTCAGGACATTCTCTTCCGAAGGACGACGCGTACCTCCTGTATTGCTTATTGTCTGTTCCAACAATGACAGCCGAATCTTAGGCTGCCATGTAACAGCAGAACCTTTGTGACTGAAATTACCTGAGTTTGTAATAATTTAGAAAAATATTCACGTGGCTATGTTACCATTATGTGATTGAATACAACTAATCTGAACCATTTCCTTTGAAAAATGTCTAAATTCAACTTTCATTAAAGGTACTCTGGTTTGCACACTCGCAGCGTTGTCCTGCGCGGTTCTTCACATAGACGCTCTGGGCTTGTGAGTGAGGCGGCCGGCCCTCGGGTGCCGGGGGTTGGTAGCCGATGTCGGGCAGAATCGTCAGGTTCAGCTGGTGCTTTTGTGATGTGCACTTTCATGAGCAGTTCCAAGCGCTCCGATCAGCTGCGTTGATTCCATCAGAGCTCATCTTTGGCAAAGTGGTGCCCGCCCCCGCCCCGCCCCCCGCCTTCTCCGTTCCATTTCTTTACTATTTTGCTCCTTCTTGGTATGTGAATGTGTGTCTGGGCAGAGGCCAATTTTTCTTCTAAATTTTGTATTATTGCCACTTTTTTCTGCTTGTTGAAAACACGTCCTTGAACTCATCCTACGCCTCGTGGCTGCCTGGATGGCCCGCCTCGTCTGCTCTCACAGTGTCGCGGGCAGGTGCGGAATTTGAGGTCCGTTCCAGCAACACTCGCAAGGGGTCAGAGGCCTGGCACCTTGCCCGGCAAGGAGGGTGCGGTGGGCTGCCACCGGGGGAGCTCGCGCCTGCCCCCCAACACAGGCTGCCGAGCGGCGGCTGGCCCGGGGGCCCGGTCGTGGTCAGAAGGCTGTCCGCCTCAGTTCTCTTCATTCATTCCATCTATGACTAAGTGCTCATAATAGTACCAACAATGATAAACTACAAATCAATTACACTTACCAATATTTTAAAAGCGAATTTTAGAATTGGGGGTATCTAAGACTGACAACAAGTTCATAAAAAATTACTTTGTGAATAGGGATTAAAGTATGAGGCTGGCCCAAATCTTACCCTGTACCAAGGGCACATTTTTCTGGAAGCTTCTAGAGGAGAGACTTTTACAGGTGTGTCTTCCTGCATCAGTTGAAGACAGACAACCCACGGGACTGTGTATGACTGCAGCTTTTAAAATGGGTTGGCTCTTGTCTTTAGCCTGGTGCATGATCTGTTTTGGAGGACATTCTCCCTGGGCGCCAGAGAGACGTCTGTGTTCTCTTGCAGTCGGGTAACGTGGCTCTAGAGCTGCGTCAGGCCTCCCTGCTCCGTCGCGTGTCTCCCGCCTGCTCGGCTGCAACCTGTGCGGGTGCCCCCTCCATGGCGCAAACGGCGGTCAAAGCCCCCAGCGGCGGTTACCTCCACCTCTCTCTCCTTTCAGTGCATTCCATTTTTGATGTGTGTTTTGGGGCCCTGTTGTTACGGACGTATTGATTTTAAATGGTCGTATCGTCCCTACAGATCGCCCTTTTTATCATTACAATGTGTCTTTATCTCATTTAAAATTCTTTGTTTTAGTCTATTTAGTTTGATATTATTATATCAATTCTGGCTTCTTAGTAGTTGCTGTTTACATTATATTGTGTGTGTATGTATATATATATTTCTTTTCCTTCCAACCCATTTGTTTCAGGAGACTTTGACTGGGGAAACATTTTTAAGATGCCTGCTTCAAAACCTGTAGCAGATCATTTGAACAGCTGATCAATTTAATGTTAGAGTCACTCGATTACCTTTTCTCATTCAAGCCGTCCCTTTCCTGCGGCGCGGTCCGGTCGCGTGATTGACCGCCCGTGCCCTCGGCGCACCCCGATCTTGTTTAACTTCTCGGCGCAGGCGGTCGCCTTGTTCAGGGCGCCCGCGGGGCCTGCGGGCTGTGACTCCTGGTTTGCAGAGCTGCTGCTCTGCGCCTCTCTGTCTGCCCGGTGGACCTCGTGTCCCTGCTTGCCCCCTGGCCCTGGCGTTGCGGCCGGAAGTGCGGAGGGCGTGCGCCCGCCCACCCGCTGCGTGCCCCCCGGGCGGTGGCAGGGCGCAGGGAGGGTCCCCGAGGGGGCCCCACTGTGGGGCGTGTCCTGGACGGGGCGGCCGGGTGGCCGGGCGGCCGGAGGGAGCCGCGCGGGCCGGGGACTCACGCTCTGGAGGTCACATGGGTCAAGAAACAAATCCCGTGGGACATCAGAAACTATTTTGAGCTAATTAATTAAAAAAATACCACATACTAAATGTATGGCTTACCACTGAAGAAGTGATTAGAGAGAAATTTATAGCTGTGTTTGTGTTTGAAAAAACGGCATTTTAAAAATCAATGCCCTAAGCGTCTTTAAAAAGTTGCAAAGGAAGAGAAAATTAAATATAAAGTAAGAAGATTGTAGAAAAATAAAGACAACAGCGGTATCAATTCAATAGAAAGTGGACAAACTATAAAGAAAATAAATAATACACAAAATTGGTACTTTGATCAGATCAATCAAGTTGATAAATTCTAATCAGATTAATCAAGAATATGAGAGAATACAAATGATCAAGATGAAGAATAAAAGAATCAATGTTCTTCAAAGATCATATAACCACCAAAAAGGAAGAATGTTATGTCAATAAACTCCACAACGTAGATGAAGTACAAAATTTCTTTTAAATACACAAATTTCCTAAACTGATTCAGATGAATCTGAATAGCACATATCTAATAAAGAAGATAAATTTATAATTAAAAATGCCTTTCCAGAAAGAAAATTCTAGGCCAAATGTCTTCACTGTAAATTCTATACAGCATTTTTAGGGGTATCTTAAGAAAATGGCAGGAGCTTAGGTACTTGCATTCCAGTACTTTTCTCCCTCCAAAAAAATATTGAGTAAAACATACACCCGTGAGCATTTTATGTAGGTACCCAACCCTCGCCTCTGTCTCCATCTCTGCATCCATGTCTACACCTTCTGTACCTACGAGCCCCACAGAGAAACACTAGCAACGCGTGACCCTGATACTCCGCCCTCAGACCAAACAAACCAAGTAGGAAGAGTAAACGAGGGCGGGGCGCCCTGGCAGAGTATCAGCCACACGGCGGCTGTCACGGGTGTGGGCCCACGTCTCCGTGACGGCGGGAGCAAGCCTTCTCTGCAAGCTTCCACGGAAACTACCCAGAGGGCTCACACGGTAAGTCACAGAGAGAACAGTCAGCGAGTCACAAGAGAAAAAGCACATTTTTGAAAGTGCTAATACTGCACAAACACTCCCTGACTGTTGTGCAATAAAGCCAGACATTGCCAACAAAAACAAAGAGCAGAAACCCCCTTGGACTGGAAAGTGAATCTTTGATTAAACCATTCTCAGGTGAGAAAGAAAATGGGCTCTCAGATTAGAGGTCGTCCCCATCAATAACAGTAATAAAAATAGTGCTTCACAGACTCTATGAAAAAGTGTCCAGCAGTAATTGGGAAAGAACTCATGATACTAAACATTTTCTGTCAGTGAAAATGAAAGAAATAACATAAATAACGGTTAAGAAAAAATAAAGAACAACTAAATAAACCAAAGGGAGCACAAGGACGGAGGTAACAGACAGGCCAAAATTAATGAAGTAGAGACAGGAAAAAAATACATTTAGAAAATGACCCCAAATGCTATGAGTTGAACAGATTAACATTTATACATCATTTGCTAATTTGATCAAGAAACATGAGAAATAACAAGAGGGGAAGAACACGGCAAGAAGGATGGTAAGGACCGCAAGGACTGCAAAGCCGCCCCGCAGGCCTTCGTGGACGGGAATTTGAAGGCCCGAGTGCTCAGCACAGCCTCCGAGGGGAGCGCGGAGGCCAGGGTGACGCGGCCGCGCTCGGATGCGGACCAACGGCCTCCGAAGGAACAGAGAGTGAAGGGAAGGCCCCGCACGGCACTCCCGCCGGGTCCGCGGGCAGGCGCCCGCCAGCTGCCCCAGGCACCGCCAGTGAGGGCCGCCCCAGCCCGCGTGGTCAGGCGGCTGCTGGGACACCCGCGCGCCCTCTGCCTCCGGCGTCCACGCCCAGTGCGGTGCCCTCCCGGCGTGGCCGAGGCGTGTGAGTGACTTTGACAAACAGAATGTGGCGAAGGTAATGCTACCCGTGTATACGAGGGGGACCCAAAAACCTGGCATTACCTCCTGAAGGGGGGGACCCTTGTTGTACAGGTTCCCCCGCTGGGTGAGTGTTCCAGGAACCCATCGGTGTCAGCGCACCAGCTGGCGTTGTTGTGAGAGGCCGCGTTCGGCTGCAGTGAATTTTTTTTGAAGACTCAACGCATTTGCCATTTCATGACGGGAGACTGACGCGCGCACCTGCCCACAGCGCGCTGAGTGCTCAGCAGGTTTTGACCTAAAACACCATGACCCCTGGGCCCCACTCTCTCTCTTCACTGGATCTCACCCCAAGTGACTTTTTTTGTTTGTTTCCCTGGATGAAAAAAGTCCTCAAAAGGAAACATTTTGCTGATGTGGAAGAGGCGAAACAAAAATATGGCAGGAGCACTAAAAGGCATCAACATGGAGGATTAAAAAACTGCCTTGAGTGGTGGGAAAAAAATCCCGATAGGTGTATTGCATGAGATGGAGTGTCGTTGGAAGGCGACCCGACTTTAAACATGTGAGAGCAAATGCACATTTTCATAAATAAGTTCCGACTTCTGGTACGCACGGCCGTGCAGGGCCGCGGCGCCCACCTCCCTGCGGGCTCCCCTTCCCTCCTGGCCCCGGGGGAACCCGTGACCACTCGGGGCAACCGCAGGGCCAGGAGCCGACTGCGGTCAGGGCTGAGCCCCTCGGGACACCCTGAGGGCCACCACGTGTGTGGCCGTGGGAGCAGGTCCCGCTGAATCTTGGTGAGACCACCGAGCCGGCCGTCGCCCTGGGTGCGGCGCCGTGGGAGCCCGGGACTCTGTGGACCCTGGAAACGCGGCTCCCACCTGA